TGGTAGTGATCCCCTGGGGCAGGTTGCCCCGAGAAGCTCTGGCTGCCCCATCCCTGGAGGTGTTCAAGGCCAGGTTGGACGGGGCTTGGAGCATCCTGGGCTGGGGGGGGAGGTGTTCCTGCCCAGGGCAGGGGGGTGGAACAAGATGATCTTTAAGGTCCCTTTCAACCCCAACCATTCTATGGTTCTGTGCCCGCTGTGTGCGTGGTGGGGAGAGAGCTGCAGGGTGCTGGACAAATGGAGTGGGACATAAGGGAAGGCTTGGTGCTCTTCTTGGAGGGGTGGTTGTGCCTGCCTGTGCTAAGTGCTGGGAGAGTGTGAGGGGGTTTTAGTTGCTGTGGCAGGGCTTGTGAAGGAGAGGAGAGTGCAGAGAGGTCCAAGGGAGTGTGGGGTTATGTTGTGTGGGGGAATTTGGGAGCCCTGTGCAAGGTAAAGCATGGACGAGGAGTCAGAGGAGCTCACCCTGGGGCTCACAGGAGGTGTGGGAGGGCAGCGGGGAGTGCAGGGCATCCCTAGGGAATACTGCGCTGGGAGAGCTTGTGGGTGGAGGACGAGCTTTGTGTTAAATTGGGTTTTGTTTCCTGAAACGGTTGTTGTGGTGACCCAGCTGGGAATGGTATGTGGTGGTGTATGGGCACGTGGGGATGTGGTGCGCTTGTATTTGCAACCAGGTGGTTTGTGTTGTGAAACTAGAACCTGGGACTGATATCCTGAAAAGATTCAAGAACAGCAGGAGCTAGCTGAGTGTGTGTCTGTAATATGAAAAATAAAATCTCTGGATCTGAGAAAAGCTATGTTTGCAATTTAGCATGCAAATGAAGCATCCTGAAACATGCAAGCGCCCCCTCTAAAACCTGATGCTCCACATCAATTTCCTTGTTGGATGCCTCATCAGTTTCCAGTCAGAAAACTGGGAGAAACTTGCCAAACTGAAAAAATAATAAACAAATGACCCTTGTGTCCAGAGGAACCCTGGGAGGAGTGGAGATGTCTGTGCACTTTCATAGGCAGTGGTAACACATTGAACTAGCTAGAAACTAACTTTTAGTTAGAAAACACCACGAGGTCTGTGAAAGTACAAAGTGTAAAGCAATGTTTCAGTTAATAATTCTCTATGCTGACACTCTTGCTTGCTGCCAGTGGAAGGGTTTAGACTGACCACATTCAGTTCTGCATGCATATCTTCTCTCTAGACGTGGCAAGCTGCAGAGGGAGTCAGACTTCATGGCGAGTGTAGACAGCAGCTGGATCTCCTGGGGTGTGGGAGTCTTCATTCTGAAGCCCCTGAAGTGGACTCTGTCCAGTGTGCTGGGTGACAGTAAAATACCTGAGGAAGAGGAAGTTCTGATTTATGTGGAACTGCTTCAGGTGAGTGTTGTTGAGTGCTTTCTCAAGATTATGCATCTCCAGGAAAAAAAAACATGAGTCCTTTTATGTGCTAGCAAGGAAAGATAAGGATTGAATAGACCTTCATTTGTACTCCATAGGTGTTTAAAAGACCGTAGACAGATGGATGGAATAACTGGGGAATAAGAAATAGTTTATATCTACAGATGTTGCTTGAAACTAACATAATGACTTTTCACGGACTTCGAAGAAACAGGAGGGGCAGGCTTGCTTGCTTGTCTAGGAAGGCAAGTAGTATGCTGTGAGACCGCTGTAAATCTCAGGTTTGAGTTCATGCAAGTGGAGTATATGAGAGAAACTTGCAGATTGAGTGCCATCTGTTATAGGGAGAAACAGGTGACGTAGAAGTCGCTGGCTGTCAGTCCAATGTATCATTGAGCTGAACTCACGTGTGCATTATTAAAGGCTGCTTTCACTTCAGAGCGTGTGCTTTCAGCTTGCCTGTTCAGACCTGATCAGAACTGCCCTTGGATCCTGTCAAAGATCCTTTTCTTTGGCACATCGTTAGTGGTAGACCTGTGGATCGCATCGTGAATTCATGTAACTCATTGTTGCTCAGTCTAGCTTGGACAGTGCAGTGCTGACAGTCTAGACCTGGGGTCTCTCTCCGTCTTACTCAGTGACTGTTAAAATTAGCACCAAGATTTGCTGCTATTGCATGCAGGCGCTGTCTAAATGACGGGGACAAGCAGAAATGCAAGAGCTCTTTAGATGTGTTCCTCTACTTGTAGTTACTCTGATAGCAGACAGCGTCTTCCCTCTGCAGTGGGTATTCCACAGTCCTTTCAGAGGGTGTGTGCATGGGAGAGGAGAGAAACCTTTCAAAAATGTGCCTGGAAAAACCACGAGCCTTGATGTGGAATCTGCGGGTGGATGGAAAGAGTTGTTGTGATAGTCTTAAGTGGACCATAACTCTCACTTGAAATGGGGAAAACTCTTCTTTTTTCTCTGCCCATGTAAAAATGGTGCAAAATGTCTCAGTGAGTAGAATTACAGCGTGGATTAAAAAAAAGGTTTTGTTGGGTTTAACCTTGGGGAGGGGGAAGAATTTCAAGAAATGCAGAGGAGGCTCACTTGCTGCCTGTGCGGTTCTTATGTTGTTCCATAGCATTTGCACAGGGAATGTGAATAGTGTAGCTTTGGTTCTCATGGAACACTATACTATTTTTCATGCCATTAATGGTCATATATTTAAAGCATTGTAACTGCTTTTGAATGTTATGTGCAACTCATTCTGAAATGAGTCTGGCCCAAAACGTGATGTGTTTAACTTTTCACCTTCAGTGTGTGGGAGGAAGCAGGTGTGGACTTGGCAGTTGTGAGAGAAGGAAGAGTGCTGCGTAAACTAATAGACAGCTCTGTTGCTTCCTTTCAGGAGAAGGCAGAGGAAGTTTATCGCCTATATCAGAACTCTGCACTTTCTTCTCACCCTGTCGTTGCCCTCTCAGAGCTGCGTTCCCTATGTGCCAGTGTTTGTCCAGATGAAAGGACGTTCTACTTGTTGCTTCTCCAGCTGCAAAAGGAAAAGAGGGTCACAATCCTGGAACAGAATGGAGAGAAGGTACAGGGTAAAGGTGACTGCTTTTGGGTGGTATAATCCCTGTCCTGCATTTCATCTGGCTGGAAATAATCCTGTATTGGCTAAATATGGGCATTCTTTGATTGGAAAGGTCAATTCTGTGCAATCCAACGTCGTAACCTGGTTATAGATGAGATTAAATACTCAGTCTTGCATGACAGGTTCTTATTTTCCTCTGTCAAACATTTGTAACATTATCTATGTAATTTAACAGCTAGAAAATTGGCAGATACTGTAGTTGTCTACTCGCAGGTTGACTGTTCCCAGCTACCCAAATGGAAATCATTCCATGCCGTTAGAATCTGTGTTTCGCTTTCTGTGAAGCGGTTTTCCTGTCTGTCAGTAACTACAGAGATGGAGGCGCCCTCATCTCTAAGATGGCATGTTTGCCTGTAGCGTTCTGCACTGTACAGTTCAGTACTGAAGTACTTAGAAGTGTGACATTGTCCTAGTGCTCCGAACAGTGTATGGCAACTTTAAGTCTTCAGGGCATTCCATTAAGGCACTCTGTTTTCACACTGATGTTATTTGATCCTGTCTAGTTTAATATTAGATTATATGGTGACTGATGTGTCCTCATCATTCCGTTACAAGGCTTAAGCTGGGGCTTAAAAACATCTTTTCCTTCCATCAGAGTAAAAGTATTTCTAGTGTAGGCACAGATTCTGGAGACAAGTGGCTCAAGCGTGTGGTTCTTTTTCTTTAGATAGTGAAGTTTGCCCGAGGTCTTCATGCCAAAGTCTCCCCAATGAATGATGTGGACATCGGAGTATATCAGTTGATGCAAAGCGAGCAGCTGCTGTCACAGAAGGTGGAGTCCCTTTCCCAGGAAGCAGAGAAGTAATTTGGGGAAGGGTGGTGGGAAGAACATCCGTGTGCTGTAGAACTTTGTATTCCTGTGACATAGTTAGAATGAAGCTGCTTTCTGAAAGTGCAAGTCATTCTTTCCTGTTTGGTAAACATGGTCACCACAGCCATGTGGTAGGGCAGGTTTTCCAGTCTTTGTTCCTTATCCCCATGAAAACAACGTGCAGTGAGTGGATGTCGAAAGTTTTTGCAAGGATTTGGAATGCGTTCAAAGGCTATTTCTGAGAATGAACAATGGCTTAAGAGCGGTAGCATCCGAAGAGCATTGTTACTCGGTCACCTCTGGATTAGAGCAAGGTAGTGAGGATGGTTGCTGGTTTGTGAAATAACTACTGCTTGCAAAGGAATAAGCTTCTTTTCCTTGTTGCATCTCTACAGGTGTAAAGAGGATGCCCGGAGTGCTTGTAGAGCTGGGAAAAAGCAATTGGTAAGTACTGTTCTACTTGGGAAGAACTGCAAGTTAAGTGTCTGGGAGCTGGTCCAGAACTGCAGATAATGACCAGGGTTAGGCATTGTGTACTTGAACTTAGATGCGTTTAAGTTGTGTTTCTGAGGCCAAAGGTCTCTTAAGGTGAAGATAAGAATATATTTGTCCAGAGTGATGTGATGAAGAGAAATGGAAATATCTAGCTCTTAAAACCAGCTGTTGTGCGTGTGTTGCTGCACAGGGATTGCTTTTTTTTTTTTTTACGCTTCCTTTGGCTGCTGCCTGGTTTGTGATCCAAGTCTGTGTATCTCATGTCTCCAGGCGCTGAGATGTTTGAAATCCAAACGAAGGACAGAAAGGCGCATTGAAGAGCTTCATTCCAAGCTGGATGCAGTGCAGGGGATCTTGGATCGTATATATGCCTCCCAGACTGACCAGATGGTAGTGTGTTAATTTTGTCTTGTGCTTCTCACTTTAGCCCCGCTCTTTTAATTTGTGCTGCTTTACCTGCTTGTCAGAGCTCACGTCTGAGGGGTGTAAGCTGGCTGGTGAGACTTTATTCTCTGCTGTAGGAAACAGCAAATCTGCTGTTGGGGTATCGCTCTGAATAAACCTGCTTGTGGCTCCGTTTTCTGCTTGTATGCTAATGTTTTCCTGGGGGTCCTGCCTGGATCACAGGTCTTGAGAGAAGCTTACACTGCCCGTTGTTTGTTCTTAGCGTTGTGCATCTTTCATTATTTTTTTTTTTTTTTAAGGTATTTAATGCCTATCAGGCTGGTGTAGGAGCTCTGAAGCTGTCTATGAAGGATGTTACTGTGGAGAAGGCAGAGAACCTGGTGGATCAGATACAGGAGGTACTGAAATAAGAGCGCATCTAAATAAACAAGCAAGTAGCGTGTAGATGTACACAGCAAGCTTGCCCAGCTGTTAATGCTGAGGCTTCTGGTGCCGTTTGGTTTCTGTCACCAGAGCAAACTGACTTGATCTTTTTAGAACAGCAAGCAGAGGTCTTCAGACTGTGTTTGGGTTTACATATTTGCATTTATTGCTGGTTAGTAATCACAATTTACATTAAATTTGTGTATTTCATGTATTCTTTTGGTTAGCAATATTGTGCAAGCACGCAACTCTCCTAGAAAACGTTTAGCGAGATGTATTAAAAAGACATACAAGTCATATCTTTGGAAGCTGGAGTGCAACTACGTGCATAGAAACGGGGTCTTAAAACTGCCTAACCCATAATCTTCTGCAATTCAGTAAGGGAAAGGAGATGAGCTTATTCTGAATGCATTGAAATGAAGAGAGTAATCTGTCTGCATAAGCTGGTGTGAAAAACAGAAAAGGATTACTTTTTTAGCAACTTCAGCTCTGTGTACTTGAATGGTGACTTCAGCTACTGAGCTGAGGGGCTGCCTGTAAAATTTCATAGCTGAGATGTATTGGTCTTCAGCTTCCTTATTTTGTTAGCCTAAGCGGCAATATAAGCTCATTACTTATGTGGAAAAGCTAAAATTAGGGAGATTTTTATCTTTTTTTTTGTCTGTGAAATTGTTTCAGGTTTGATCCTGAAATGTGCTACTTGGTTGTGTAGCCTTTACTAAATAATATTCCATCCTACTGCTTTTGCTACTGAAAAGCCGGTCGTGTTGGAAGTCTGTCTCTTGCCCTAGTACCTGCTGCCTTTAAGTCAACTTTGGAATTACTTTTTTTTTTGTTATTCCTAATTTTGACATAGGTGGCTACAGTAAGACATAAGATTAGCTTATATTCTATATCAAATGCTGTGTATTTTTCCTCAGCTTTGTGATACTCAAGATGAAGTAGCCCAGACTCTGGCTGGAGTGGGGATCAATGGTCTAGGTATGTTTTGGGGTTTTCATCTTTTGCTCATCTTCTCTTGCCACTGCTGGCCCTCTATGCTGTCATCCCTTCCCTGCTTCTTCCCCATGTGTCTGGTCCTCCTTCCTAGGAGGATAAGCGCCTGCTGAAATACCAAGGATGTTGCTACTGGTGCCTTGAGAGGGAGTGAGGACTGACAAGGAGTTTTCTTCTCTGACAATGGGTTGCAGGGGAATCAGCATTTGCGCATCTCCGAATCCTTGCAGTCTCTAAGCGCTGGTGGATTTTAGTTCAGAGTTGTGTAATGTTGATTTAAATCTATTTTTAGAGCGGCTGCCGCTTTGTTTTTTAAGTGATGATCTTTTTCCTCTGGCCTGTGTGTTGCTGCAGCTTGTTTGTCTCTGCTGAAATGTTTTCTTACCCTTAGATGCCTCAGCAGAAAGGCTTCTAAAGGAATAGCTTCTCCCTGAGATCAGGACTGGATTTTCACCTTTAGAAGAAGCACAGGGAGTTCCTTATTATGAGTAATGATGGATGGGAGTAATAATACCTCTGTTAAACTTGGACTTCAGTCTGTGCTGTGAAGATGCTACTTAATTCTGCTTGGAACTGAATGTTTTTTTTAATCAGCAGAGATGGACACTGAGGAACTTGAGAAGGAGCTGGACAGTCTTCTCCAGGACTCGACTAAGGAGTCTGTAGATCTGCCTCCCGCTCCCCAGAAGGTGCCGAATCCACCCATTTCTGATGCTGAGCTTGAAGCTGAATTGGAAAAGCTCTCTGTTGCTGATGGAGGTATGGGTGTTAGCTACCTGTTATCAGGCTGTATGACAGCCTTGCAAAATGAAACGTGTCCAGCAGAACTAAAGTCTGAGCCAGCATCCTTCCCATGTCCGCTTAGGTGGTTAAAGTGAACTCTCTTGGTATCCCTGCCAGGTGCTCAGCGGCACCGTCTCTCACAACCAGACTCGGCCTTGAGAGAACTGCCCTCTTTGCTAGAAATTCTGCCTGGGCTTTTTGCCATGGGGTACAGGGAAAGCTGAAAGCCCTGTGAGGGAACTAGCACTTGGACTAATTTTTTTTTTTTTTCTGTTGCTGTTTAACAAAGCTTGTACAAAGCTAGGCAGTGGTTTTTGTATGTTCTGTTAACAGTGATAATGACCAGCATTTTCATGCCTGTTGCTGCCAAGCACGCAGCATCTTCTCTGTCCTACAATGCTTACTACGTCTTATGTGTTACAGGCATGATGTCTGCTTAAACTAATATTGAACTAGTCTTTGGTTAGGAACAGTGAGTGACCAGAGCTTATGGGCTTGAACTGCATGCTGAGTTTGCCCTACACCTGTCTTGAACAGAGTAAACAGACTTTCATTTTCCTTTCAGGAATCTGTTAATGAACAATTATGCAGGGCTGTTGATACAGGTTTTTCCTATTTGGGCAGCTGATATTCTCAAGTTTCAGAACAGAGGAACCCTCAGGATCCCATATCAAACATGAAGTGTGGGTTTCCAAGAGAATGCAGTTGAATATTGAAGCACCGAGGCACTCTGAAGTTGCGTTTGTTAGTTATGATGTTGATCTAGTCCCTCTTACTGATGAAAACTGATCTCTTTCTGTTGCGATTTTCTTTATAGATTTGGCACAAAAGACTCCCTCTGCTTCCTCTGAACCCAAAACAGCTCTGGGACTGAATCTCTAAAGACCCAACAAGTATCCTGTTGCTGCAGTTTGAGAAGTTGTCTTAAGGTTCCTTAACTAATGACTAGAACTTCTGGGGAGAGGGGTAAAGCTCCCCTGTTCTTCATGGATATCACTTGGCTCAGCAACAGGATCTCCTGCCATGACAATCCACTCTGGACTGGCCCCAGCTGGTGTTTGTCATCTCTGTGCCAACATCTGCACTGGTCTCAATCTGACTTGTGATCCCAAGTCACTCTGCGACATCTGGTCTTCCCTTCTGGGAATGCAATTCACTATTCTGCCCAGTGAAGATAAACTCTTCTATGTCCATAACAGTGCTCGTTTTTCTTTCTTTGCTGTGGCTGATGTTGAGAATCTGAGTTGCAGCAGTATTGCAGTTGCTCAACATTTGGCTGTTTGTGTGGTTGTTTAAAACACTTGGCACATAGGTACTGTCCTTGACATAAGTTATCTGCAAGAAGCTTAAACACCTTATGATAGTTCTATCCCTCCCTGTCTGTATTTTGCACGGTCGTGGACAACTAGACACTGTAACTGTTAAATTGTAGGAGATTTTGTTGCTGCTCTAGGGGGCAGCAATTGCAAGCACAAGACAAAAATAATTCCTCTTTCTGTAATGACACTAAGGCCTTAAAAGGGAGACCTGCAAAAGATTTCAAATGAAGAAGTTTCTCACGCTGCCTGTTGTGCTGAAGGCTTGCAGTCACTACAATACAATTTTCTGCTTGCTCTTACTTGAAATTTGAGCTGTTTGCTAGTTTTGTATCTCCCCTGTTTGCAAAACTTCTTGGAACTGCAGGGTGATCTGCTTTGAGCTCTTGTATTGAGTGATTTGGGGTGGGAGAAGAAGGGACGCATCATTCTCCCTTTCTGAGAGGATGGTTTCATATAACAGCCTTGACTTTGCCTTCAGTCTCGATGTTGCAGTTCCACAAGATTATGGGTTACCAGAAAGCCCAAAACAGAACCCTGTGAATGTTTCCAATGGGGAAAAAGAAAAAGCACAGCAACTGAAGATGGTTTTTAGAGGCTGTCTTTACCCATCAGAAGTGACATCGTCATCTTTTGCAGGTCCCTTTTTTATTATGCGTATGCACACGGAAGAGCAGAAAGCCTGATACGTAATGTGAATAAATGAATCCTTTCAGGAGGGGAATGTGCTATTAACTGGGCTTTTCTGCACACAGAGCCTGTGCCTGGCAGGGGAGCGACTAGCTACATGTTGATGTATAACCAGTCCTCCTCTCTCTGCGTCTCTCCCTGACTCGGAATGTACTCCTGTCACCATTCATTTCTACGCTGCCTCCTGTACCAAGCTCCATTCCTCGAGCCACGTGGATGGCAGCTTGGGTGAGCGGTAAACCAGGGCTGGAGTTCCCATGTCCTTTTAATTATTGACGACCCAGCTTTAGCCCCAGAGGGTGGGGGGAAGAACTTACAGGTGTCTCTAGGGCGCTGCGTTGGCTCTGGCTTCTTTATCACTTTGTCCAAGAGCGCAGACTCCTGCCAGGGAAGGGGTGCTGTAGCCAGCTAGCAGTTTACCCAGGCTGCACATGGAATTATTTGAATTGACTTGAAGCTCTGTATTCCTTTCCTTTGTAAGTAAATGGGAGAAAAACCACTGTGTTTTCTGCCTATGTGTAATAAAGGGGAGGGGAGGAATGGAACCAGAGTCCTTTGTGGTGCCTCTTTTTCTTTCCCTGTGCCACAGATCACTGCTGTACTCGTAATGTTCCAGCTCTGCTTCTGCATCTATAAAACTTTGTCTGCTGAAAGAAAAGGGGCAGATTCCTGGGCTGCTTTGTCAAAAACCAAGCTGAATAACTGCCGTATCAAACTTTGATTTCCCGGAATCTTTTCTCTGTGTTTAAAAAAAACCCGACAGTTACCATGATTAAGTTAAAGTTGTCCCTTTTTGCCAAGTAGCCTGTGCTGGGTTTTGGGTTGTACAGTCTTAGTTTTATGAGTATTCTCGTGGAAAGGCTGGCTTCTTTTTCCTTCCTTCAGCTTGTCTCATCTTTCCACTTCTTTTTCATCATTGGGCATCTCGCAAACCTGCAATTCCAAGGCTCACACAGAGCACAGTCCTTTGCTTAAGCCACCTTGCCGTGGCCATGGAGGAAACTGCTGTGCCAGGAAGCCAGTTCTGATTGACCCCTCGGTATTGTACTAAACAATATATAAGCCTTATTCTGGGGCAGTTTTTGTCCAGCTCCTTGTTCTGATTGTAATTAAGCAGTGCAGCCAAGGAGACTGATACTGATTTGTTTGGTTTTTTTCCCCTCTGTCTAAAGACAATGAATCTAAATGGAGCAACCTGGTGTATAAACTACTCAAAACAAATGACTCCTACTTCCCCCTGATATTAAGATGCCTGAAGTGAGCTTTAAGTGTGCAGGCAGTCAAGCCTGTTTCCTCTGGCAAGAGGTTTGATGTGAGCTGGCATGCTGATCCCTGGAGAGCTGCTGTGGGGTTTTTGCAGGGGCAGGCAGGGAGGAGGAAGTTTTTCTTGTTCCTGTGCTTATCTTACACTCTCTGGAGTGCAATTGTGGGAAGGCTCAGGTCTTGCCTACAGCCAGTATCGCTGGGTCTTACTTTACAGGATCTGATTACCCCTCATTTCTCCCCTGCTATCAGGACTTGTATCTTCTCTGGAAGTAAAGTGCAAAGTGATTCCTGTAGGAATAAACGCTCTCCTGTAATTCTCTAATGCATCTGACTGAGACAGCCATTCTGGAAGAGGCATTTAAGAGTTAAACCCAAGCAGCTGCTGCTTTTTTTGAAGTGGCTTGTAATTTTCTTCCTTTGATGCAAAGTGGGGAATGTAATCAAGATGGCTGAATAGAGAATTTTAAGTATATTTTGGTGAGACAGCAGGGAAGGGAAATAGAGGGCAGCTTCTTGCTGGGTGAGGAAATTAAATATAAAAACCTAGAGTTGAATTGCCACCAAACTGGAATCTTATCATATTTGAGTGCTGTTTAAAATAGTACTTAACTTGATTCTCAGAAAAAATAGCAGCTGCTTATGCGAGGAAATGCAGCAACTGTTTAGCAATATAATGAGGCAGAACAGTTTTCTCTGTCGAGAAGATTGCATCTAGCAGGCAGGAGGAGTTAACCTGTGAACATAAGTAACTGCCTGTATTTTGTTTGAGTAACTGTATTTTATTTACCTACGACAGCAGAGGTAACAGTCCTTTCTTCATTAGGTGTATTATGAGATGCACAGAAATTGGGTAATGTATTAGATCCCTTTCCATCCCATTTTCCCCCTGCTATCCCAGCTTTGAACGTCTGCTTCAGTAGAAGCAGTGTGCAAGGGCAAGAGCCTTTCTTAGATGTTTCTGAGCCCCTCAGGAGGAGGAAGGCTTCCTCATATCTCGAGGAATGATTTCCTGGAATGCCTTTTGGCTTGGCATGTGCGACCTAAGCGTACCGTGAGCTCCCGCTCCGAGCCTCTGCCATGATTTAATGCTGTGTGACAGATCGCCTGCCATCGCTGCTCTCTTGGAGAGCAGTGAAAGCACCCTATTGTTTGTCTCTTGCAACTTAGATTTTGAAAAATCTTTGTGCCCAGTATAGGGAAGGTGAGAAAAGTGCCCTTTGGGGCGCAGAGGACGGTTGGTCTGTATGCATCCTCGCGTGGGTTAGTGCACTGCCAGGGTCCTGTGGTGTCTGGGCAATTAGATGGCCCTCCTTTCGCTCTGATCCAATTCTGGTGAGGAGGAAGGGAGCTGGCTTGACACAAAAGGCCCAAGTGGACGTGCTGAGCCATGAGGTGGCTGTTGGTGCCATCTAGCTGCTCTTCCTGGCATAGGCACTTGGCAGGAGTAGGCTGCAGACGGTGGAACTAATGAGGCTTAATTAAACAAAGCCTTCAGAACTAAACGCTGTGACATGCTGGCAACAAGTTTTGGTTGTTTTTTTTTTTAAGCTGTCACAAAGCAAGCGTGCTGTTTGCTTTAGGAGTAAGCTTCTTGGTGCTGTATCTTCAAGAGTATAATTGCGCTCTTGTTTGAAAGTTGTTCTTGGGCAGTTCCTGCACTGTCTGGGCTTATGCAAAGCCTGGGTTGCAGGGTCAAGTTAATTAAATCTCAGTGCGGCTGAGCTGAGTCTGTATAGATTGGCTGCTGCTTTCTTCAGAAGTGGTGTATGTGACAGGCAAAGGCAGAGGTCATGGTGATACACTGCAGCAACTCTCAATGTAATGAGTGAATTAATGCTGAACTGCCTGGTTGTTTTTTCAGTTTGATTTGGAAAGCTTCTGCTGCTCTTTCCCACCTTGGCCAGTTGACCAGCAAGGCATTTCTAAAAAGCAGGTCCCCGTTCAAGCAGCCGTTACAGATCTGGCTCTCGAGGAAACTCGCCTCCTGAAGGATTTTTCTAACATTTATTTGATCAGAGGAGCCCTTTTGCTCAGAGAGCGGCTTTAGTTACAAAGTGATGGATGGGATCTTCTTGCGTCCAAGGCTTAACTGTGCCTTAGGTCCGACCTGGTTCCTGGTTCCTCCCCTCAACGCAGTAGGGAAGAGTCTTGCAGTACCATTTGCTTGTCAGTCTGGAGTGAGAGTTTTATGGGGCAGGAGGAGTTTTAGGGGAGGTATCGCTGCTCATTCCCCGACTCCTGCAGCACCACGATGCCTGCGATTGCTGCCTTTCAGCCCCAGCAGACTGCCGGGCTGTGCCCCCACCTCTGGCACGGTGGGCAAGGCAGCGGGCTGGGGCTGTTCGGCTCTACTCAGCCCTTGTGACAGAGCACGGGAGCGAGAGGGAAGAGCTGTTCTTGTGCTCTCGGAGGAATGGGTGGTTAAGGATAGCGAGGTGACCTCTTGGGGGTGACCACTGTTTGCTGACAGGGCTGGTACTGTGCTGGAAAGACATCTTGATTTTCCAATTGATGTTTTCAGCTGTCGGTCGATTGCTGAGGTGATAGCTAATGTGGAACTAGTTAGGAATTTAATTTAAAGAAAGAATGATGAACTTGAGAAAGAAGCTTTCTTATATAGCTTTGCTGAAAATACCAATGTTTATTCAGGATAACAAAAAAAACTTACAAAGTGATGTTCAGTATTCTCTTTGGTCCTACACATAACTGCTGCTGAAAGAAAGACTGTCTGAAAACTGTGCTTTGTCTGATACTTTCAGAAAGAAAAAGCTTTCAGATTTGTACAAGTGTTGCTTTTTATTGGTGTGTCGTCCCGTCCCCCCCAGGGTGTGTTTTGCCTATGGAC